GACAGCTGGTCCTTATTAAACACCCTTTAAATGTTGCAGTTTTAATTAAGCAACATCCATGTTATATTAACATTACCAAATAATTAACTAAAGAAAAGCTAGTATCATCTAATCATGACAGCTTAACATCCTTTCACCAGTGGACTATAAAGTATTAATCTATTAAAGCAGAACTTGTATTTGTTCTTAAATAAATGTCTCAAGATTTTAAATTAACAAGTGTGATACAGCAGTTTGTACACYTGTACTTACTCAAAAACAGATTTTGAGTAAGGCAGGGAGTGGAGTTCAACATCTAAATTAAGGGACACATTCTAGARAGGAAATCAATCAAATCTGTAACAAGTCCCAAGCGATTTCAATTGCAAAAACCCTGTTAAGTCAACAGCTGATGAATTACCATCATATTCWAATTTCCCAGTTTCATAGATACACATAAGGAAATACACAATTTTGTTGTTAACACTGAGAGTTAGTTTCAATTACATAAACATATGTTTCTGTATTTTTTTTTCAGTAGGTCATGTACTTGAATGCTCATCCTGAAAACYCAGCATTAAACAGTACAGCCTCACAGTTCCTGAGGAAACAGTCAATCTGCTAATTTAAACACTAACATATTTAGGCTACTTTYTGCATTTTTTAATTCMTTTAAATAGGCAGATTGTCATCAACACTTTTTGACACTAGAGCAGAAATGGACTCTCATTCTGTCCCACATTACTCAATAAATGATATTCAGAAAAACCACAAAACAAACCCTGAAGCCAAATTCTGAGCTGAACAACAGTGATACAGATACCCACCTGCATGACTGACCATGCTTGCAAAGCCTTGCACCCAACATGTTGCATTGTAGCTAATCACAGAACACACAAAGCYTTCAAGTGACACATCTCATCAATTCTTAAACGCTATCACACTGTTCTGTATGCCAGGGAGAGAAATCTATTGATTTTGTGAATTTTAAAAAAATGGCACATAGGGAACTGGTGGCATCTGGTCAGCAGASCTTTAAAGCAGCTCTGGAACTGTCTATAGATTAAAGAACTCCCTGATGGCAAACATTAACACCTTCTTCCACCATGCTCCATCTTAGGTCTGTCTTCTGCTTCATACCTTTTAAAATTTTTAAATACTCTGCAAGAGAAAAATCTAGGTCTTTTTAACTGTTGGAAAATAACATGAAACAGAAGGGAGAAATGTAAACTTTGGTAATTTCTTACCACCTTACAGGGTGTTTTTCCTCCAAAATGAAGTTCCCAAAACATGTAATTAACTGGGAAAAGTACTTCAGTAAGACCTAGCTCTGTGCTTAGGAGATTCCTAACTGTAGAGAAGCAYGAGTCTGCTTTGGATGCTTGAGGAGATAAATGCAGGCACACAGCAGCATGAGCCTAAAGAACAATGAGACAGGCAGAGCTCCCAATAGTGGAACAGTAGGAAATCTTCAGTCCCTACTCCGAAGTGAAAAGGAAATAGAAAGTTCCTTACATAAAGAGCATAGAAGGGGACACAGGGAGTTTCAGGGAGAATGCACGGGAACAGAGCCCCCAGTCTGTCTGAGCAGCTTTGCTTAGCAGAGCAAAGGAAGGTACAACTCTCTGCTAACAAGGAGGGGAGGTTTGGTAAAATGCTGTATTATTCATTCTTCCTCATCATAGAGTCTCATTAAATTTAAGCTTTATATTGAACATACACAATTCAGTGCCAGAAACTTCAGAGGAATTAAACATATGAAAAAAATTACTCATGTGTGTAGTCCCATTAGAATCTACAAAACAACTTGAGACTGAAGCTGCTCATGTGTTTAACAGTGAATAAATGAATCTGAAATATATTCAAATCATCCTCRGATCACAAGTCTCTCTTCTCTGCRTACCTCATGGCCTGCTTATAGCATGAGAAAAATCCAGAGACTGCTTTTCCAGAATAGCTCCCCATGTGGACATAGTTACTCTAGATTAAAAGAGGCCCTTCCCTCAGCTATTTTTTTCTGGATAAAGGTATGCATATGAGGTACTAAGATCATCCATATGGAAAACTACTTTGCAATACTATTCCACTTTGCAATACTATTCCACTTTGCAATACTATTCCACTTTAAGCAAATGTCTACTCTAATCTGAAATTAAGTGTTGGAATATATCAAAATTTCTATTAAACATCAATGAAAGAAATCCTACACTTAGCAATGTCAATCCAAATTCTACAATCCTGAGCCCACTGTAATCTGATAATTCTTAGCCACARTAATGTTAAGTTACTCATCCTGGTATTAATTGCTTTGCTACAAACACATGCTGAGTTCACAAGACAAATGCCAGTGTATTAGCAGAGAAGATGAATAATACAGGTATGTATTTTGTGATGGARGTCGTAAAAACWAACAAACAAAAAATCACATCTAGAATGTGATTTAGTTTTTAGTTTTCAGAATATTAGGTATTAATAATTTCAGGAGCTATGTAAAGCCAACCAATACCTTCTTTTAACCATRGTCTAGTAATATGCTCTCATTAAGTCAGTTTTTTACTGCTACAAAATATTGAGGATACTTAAAACTGTATTTTGTACAGTAAAAGAAACTTGTGCACTACTTATGTATGTATGTACATTACTTATGTGTGCATGGAGAAAAATGGAACGTAAGATKCTCAAAAACAACGCTCAAATGATAAAAAAAGATTCATTGGAGGGAAATGAACTATACATTTACAGTTCTAGCAGAGGAAAATACCCAATGCACACATATCTAAATGCACATACAAAAACCCAGGTAGCTACATTTTATTTCTCCTTGAACAACTATTAAAATTTAAATGATTTATTTTCAGATTATTTACRCCCTTGAGAAAATTACCTCTATTCAAACCCCTTCATTTAATGYAAGCTAGATATTTTTACTTTCTCTATATAAAATGTTAACATTTATTCATGCCCTTAACATACATTAATTAGACACTACTTATAAATAACCTGCAATAAGAATAACTGTTTGAATAGGATACAATTACTTAGGGCTTGTGTCTTTTCAATCAGTCAGTGTCCCTGCAGTGTTTAGAGTGGCAGAGGGGAAGTGGCCTGTGGTTAAACAGAGGAAATACCAAGGAATTTTAATAGAGCAAATAGTCTCTTTACTTCCTACAGGGTACTACTTCAAAGGCAGCCCTGCTCCAGAGCAGACAATGTGTTAGAGGGGCCATCAGTCATTTAATAGTATGTCAAGTCTACTCAAAACTTACATGCAGCCCAAGATAAATACCACATAACTGAGACAATGGGTACCATCCTGCAGTCATTACTCTAATAAACGCTGCCCTGCCTGCATTACGGAGGCAATCATGCRTAAGGGTGGCATTAYAAAATCAGACTACARAATTATAACCACACAATCAGACAAKGTAYCYAATAAATTAGCTAGGGAAGTCTGAACTTGAAGCTGAAAATACAATAAAACCAGAAACCCGTACAAATATATTATAAGCTAAAATGGTACATTAGTTGTGAGCAATAAAGACAAAGGGGAGGTTACACTAATTAGAAAAAGTGTTAAGCTTTGCTGATCTAAAAGCCAGTCAAAATCATTCTATTAAAAGAATTATATTGTGGTACATTCTTGTTTAACACACACAATGGCATTAATTATATAAGCAAGAAAATTAATTCAGAACAAACTTCATCTGCATATTTCTATAAACGTCAATATACACTAATTCAAKTATATTACAAGTCAGGTACTATGATTTTAATAGCGATAATTTACTTAATAGAAGATGCAAAACTTTACAGAAATATACACAGTGSTGTTATGAGCCTGTGGAGTATTCTGCCCATGTCTGGTGAAGTACACAATAGCCACAYTGAGCCAAAACATTTTATTTTTTATACTGTTAAAAGACATAATAGAGGAGTCTAAACCTATAACTGTTCCATCCAACACCAAGATTTAGTGTTCTAAAGACCAAGATTTAGGTCTTAAGCTTTATCAGAGTTTGAAGTTTGTTTTTCCACACTCTTCTTTTAGACATTTCCCGATACYTTCGCCTTTCTAAACTATGCCCTAAAAACTTCTGAACTGTGTGTTGCAGCAACGTTCTCAAAGGACCTGATCTGAAACCAAGAAAATCCTTAGTGACAGTCTAACAAAAAGGAAAAGCAATGAAAGTCAGTTGTGTTCCCTCCASTGTTCCCGGATCACCACGCTTCAACTAAACCTGTAATCAGACATCAGGAGCAAGGAAAGGAACAAACCAAAACACACAACTCAAAAGTTATTAAAATACATTAAAAAAAAAAAANAGGAGCAAGGAAAGGAACAAACCAAAACACACAAAACAAAAATTATTAAAATACATTAAATAAAAAAAAAAAAAAAAAAAAAAAAAAGAAAGAAAATAAAAGGAAAAAGAAAAACTATCGAGTAAAGTCTGACAGCAAAACACACCAGAAACAGGAACAAAAGGCAAAGACCAGTAACAAAACGTTTATCACCTTCCTCCCCCCGTTCCCCTCCCGTAAATTTCCTACATCCTCTGTATAATGATCAGGCCCGGAGCTAAGACCCCAAGCCGGCCTCGAATCATTAAAATAACAAAGCCCCAGCGATCGCTTTTATCCAGGTCGGCTCGGGGAAGTGGAGAGCGCTGGTGGTAAAGGACCTGTTGAGTGACTTCTTCACACTCGCCGGCTCCGAGCTGCCTCCCCCCTTSGCGAGAAACCAATAAATATCCCTGCCCGGGAAATGCTACCCTCTCTCCCGGCCGCAATTAACTTCCAGATGCAGAGCCCCGGGGCAGCGTTATTTGTTGCAGAAGTGTCCCCAGGGCAGCCGCTCCCTCCCGGAGCAGCGCCCGAGCCCGGCGCGGCTCTCCCGGCGGCGGAACAGCGCCCGCGCCCCGCGGCTGCGGAACTCCGCGCATCTCATCTCCCCGCGCCTTGCCAGAGCGCCTTGCCAGAGCCCCTTCCACGCAGCCCCTTCCACGCTTCGCTCTACTCACCCTCCCTGCGCACGCCTCGGCCGCCGAGCCCCTCCTGCCGCCGGCCGCTCCGGCGGTCGCAGCGAGCCGGGGGCCACCGAGACAKACGGCGATGGCGAGGAGGAAGGAGCCGAGCTGCAGCCCCGGTGCCATGGTCCCCAGCGAGGGGCGGCGGACGGGGGCGGCAGCGCTGCCGCCAGCTGCGTGTCGGTGTGTCTGTGTGTCTGTCTGTCCGGCTGTCTGACTGTGTGRCTGTGTGTGCATGCGCGCCCGGCCCGGGGGCGGGGGGTTCACCCGAGCCCCGGCCCCGCCGCCCCCGCCCCGCTCCAGTCCTGCCAAACGGCAACAATGGGAGGGAGCAGGACCCCCTCCGGCTGCTTTGCCCGCGTGTGCATTCTTCCCTTCCCTTCCCTTCCCTTCCCTTCCCTTCCCTTCCCTTCCCTTCCCTTCCCTTCCCTTCCCTTCCCTTCCCTTCCCGGGGAGCCCTCGGTACGCGGGGCCTCCCCCCTTCCCGGGACAGCTGGAGGCTGCTTCTGCCTTCCTGCAAGTAACCGGGTCCAGCCAGACCTGGCCGAATTCCCATCTTCATTTCGTGATGCGGTACCCTATTCCTGATCCACTCACTACATTGCAATGAAGTGAGGTATCACTTTAGTGACCCCACAGGGATACGGTCCAGGTACTTCACAGGCTCAGGGCCCCAAGCCAAAGATGACTCATAGATCTTAGATCTTTGACATGATTTCATGCATTACACAATCACAGGGTCAATTAGATTGGAAAACACCTCTGAGATCATTAAGTCCAACCTTAAGTGCCATGTCCAGTCTTTCCTTAGACTCTTTCAAGGGACAGTGACTCCGCCACCTCCCTGGACAGTCCATTCCAATGTCTAATCACCCTTATTGTGAAGAAATTCCTCACAATGTCCAACCTCAACCTCCCCTGGCACAGTTTGAGACTGTCTTCTTGTCCTGTTACTGCCTGGGAAGAGACTCCATAGGCTACAGCCTCCTTTCAGGTAATTGTAAAGGGTGATAAGGTCAACTCTAAGCCTCCTCTTCTACAGACTAAACAACACCAGCTCCCCCAGCAACTCTTTAATTACTCTTTAATTGAGGAAGACAAGCTGGAAGATTGTACTATCGTAAAATTTCAATTGCAGAAAATGCAAAGGAAGTTGTATCTGGCAATAAATATTTCAGCTTTTTCAACTGGAGWTAGTTCTGATATTACATGCTTTGATGAAAACACTTTTCTTTAAAATAAAATAAATCATATTCTTTATAAATATCAAATGCAAGCTAGTCTGATGTATCAGTAAATGTCTTCAGTTACAATCCCTTTGCCTGAAATTCTCAAAGTCATGTAAGAGACAGAGCAACCCAAGGCTCCTCCAAAGCACAGAACCATAGGATGATTTTGCTTGGAAGGGACCCCAAGGTCCCTCTGCTCAAGGTAGCCTTAACTTCAGTTTTAAATGAGGTGAGTCTAGGGCCTTTCAATACATCACTTTTACATATCACTTCAATTATTTTTGAAAACTTTGATTTTAGTACTTTCTGTGTGCTATGATTAATCTTGGACTAAATCACAATCCTAATGGAACAGACAAACTCATCAGTATTTTATAAAAGACATCACAGTTTGGATTAAAATAATATGTAAAACCACCACTATGACAAACAGTTGAAAAGTAACATGACCAGCTGGTAATTTTTAACTACAACTGGTTTACCCCTATCATAGGGTTTTCCATCCTTTGTGACTAGTGTGTGAAAGTAATGCAATACGACTTTCCTAAACTGCTTGTTTAAGTTGATGACAACCCTGGCACTCACAGTTACCTTTGAAAAAACAGGTTTGCGACTTCAGGATGGCTATCACTGTTCATAGCAACAAGAACAGAACTTACATTTTTTGCCATTAAACTTTTTTCTTTTTTTTTTTTTTTTTTTTTTTTTTTTTTTTTTTTTAGCAAAAATTGGAGATTAGGCCATAGTTCTTTACGGCTCCAGGGGCAAAAGGTTCTTACTTTTGATCTCCATTGCCCCTGCCAGCTGGAATTCTGAAAAAGGTAATACTAAGTATCTAGGTGGAATTTCACTGATTTTATGATGAGATGTTTTTGATGGTTAAGTACACTGAGGTYAGAATGGAAGTTTAACATGTTTTGTCACTGTATACCACACACTTCTGTCTGGGTATTCTTGCTTTACTTTCTCCTTGCGTTACTCAGAAGTGATCCTAYAGGCTTGAAAACTACATGAGCATTTTTATTTTTAATCAAGTCAGGCTGCATAAAACCTGTAAATAACYGGTCCTTTTATGTTTGAATGAATTAAAAAGAACATAAAATAACACAGTCTCATGGGTAAAGAAAGGAAGACATATGTACAGTTCATTTACAGGTGAGTAGTACCTCTGCTGCCCATAACCACCTATGACAAGCAAGGATACCCTGTTGAACATAATGCCATTGATCAGCAATTAAATATTCCAAACCATGAGGAAAACTGTTTGGGTTTTTCTGTTAATTAAGATTTAGATTRCTGGAGAAGTTGTAATTTTTAAGTGAGGACAAAATCAGCATTATCTGTGCTGTTGATGTATTAGCCTATGATGATTTTAACAAAAACAGACACACAACAAATAGTGAGAATGCCTCAGTTGCAGAATAACCAAGGCATTTATAACTGAAGAACTCACAGCTGCCACTGGTTACACTGGCGGTACTCAGAAAGCAGCAAAATGATTGGTCAGATTTACTGAGATTTACTGATTTATCTCAAACTTTGCAGCACAAAGCAAAAAAGCCATCTGACAAAACCAGCACTGATGCCTCCTTCCCAACAGTTCAGCTTAAGCTAATAACAAAATGACACATCTGAAAAATAATTCCCCGTGCTGCCACCATGTCTAGCTTATTGTGTGAATGAACTGGCTGAATACAGAAGTATTGCATTGCTTTGTAACCATTTAGAATAATTTCCACTGAAATGGAAAACAGTACTGGAGAAGCAGGAATCAAATGACTGCAGTTAATGTTTTTAACTAGAGCCTCCAAACTGCTGCAAGCTCATGGAAAGGCAAAATTGGCTGTGGGGACTCTGCTTGTCTGTAGGTTCTTTTGTCCTTTTTACAACGGTCTCTTGTTTCTGGGTAATATAGAATGCATACTACCCAAAAGTCATGGGTATCAATATCCTGCATTCTACAGCTGGTTTTGGTTGCCAGTCTCCCTTCTTGCTTAAAGCTAAAAATCCTTTCTTTCCCTTCCCCTTTCTGAGCAGCTGTTCCCAGATGGAGGAGACAGTGAGAGCCCAACAATTCCTACAAAAACATGAAAACTCATTTAACAAAAATTTCTGATAATATGATTAAAATTCCCTACCAAATATTTCTATTGCTCAGCAAAAAGTCATTCTTGGACCTGAAAGTTGTACACTCTATCCTTCATAGTTCTAGTACTGAATTCTCTCCTAAGAGAGACTGACCTTGACTGCAAAAGAAATCATGCAAACAGCTCACTTTAGGGCAGAAAGCATGCATCAGGCTGGTAGAGTGTTCAGCTAAGTCAATCATGACTATTGCAGTATCACAATATTGCAATAACTCAGTAACTCCTGTTACAGACACTGCCCACTGTTAGGAAATGAGGGTGAGATGCAGTGAACAAGCAGAAAATGTGCTAAAAGAGATCCTATAACAGAAATCCTTCAATGTGAGGGTCTTTTGGAACTTCATCTGACAGATACCTGAAGACAGAAAACCATATCTTTTGAGAGTACCCCTTTGTATGAAATTGTCCCACTTCCATGGGAATGGCTTATCTGTTGGATCAGCACCAAGGAAGAACCACTTTCCAGTATCAAACCTTAAGAACAAAACTAACAAGTGTGAAATGGATGTGGACACTCCCAGCAAGGGCATGAAAATTCCCACCTGTATCAGGGATCACAAAAATCCTGTTTTCATGGTATCTTCTATATTATGACATGCCATAGTTTCAAATGCTCCAGCCAGGCTCAAGTGAAAGGTTGTCAACTGATAAGAAACTAACTTCAAGCCAGTTAGAATAAAATTGAATTGATATTTCAATCAAATCTATCAATTGTTATGAATATTCATCTTGTTCAAGGCAACTGTTAAATCATTAGGCCTTGAYAAATGTGACAGAAATTCATGAAATACAGAATTCTCAAAAAAAAAAATCTGTATTGCCAGTGCCATTTTATAAATGAAGGAACTTAAACACCAAGTCATAAAGTTGCCTGCTTTTATGTCTTGCACACTTGCTCAGGGCTAAACCAATAATTAGATTTGGACTCAGGAAAGACTCTGCCCCTTAGAAAGACAGGAAAAGACCCCTGTGTGTAGCACTCTTTGGTTTTAATTTGCTGCTTTCTGTAGGGACACACTCTACTTCCTAAGGTCATGCAGACACCACCAGTGGGTGCAAGCCTCCAGAGTAATTCCCCCAAACTGGCTGCTTCTCTCTCAGGAGTGGCAAAGAGCACACAGCAGGCTGTCCTGGCAGCCAGCTGCCTCCTGCTGTGGCCACACATTCACTGGCACTTCTGGAGTAGCTGCTGTTGTGTCCAGATGGGAAAGTGGAATTAGATGCATGAATTCTACTTTGACACTGGCAGCCATCATTTCTATATGCAGATGCTTTGAAACTGRGCATCCAGTCCTTACTGCTGACTAAGCCATACCTTCCAGAATCCCGTGGAGTGTACCAGCAGGAATATTTCTCTCCTACTCACTTTTTTTGTCACAGTGTCACGTTTGAGATTTTTCTCAAAAATCCCGAGTCTGTCTCCAGATATTTGGGAATGTTTTGAGGCCTGTAGAGTTCAGAGAGAAGGGAGTGAATGGTCTTGTGACCTTTCTGGATGACTAAATCTCTTCTACAGGAAATTGCACTTAATGACCAAAGAAGTTTAAGTCCTATATTCCTAGAGGCTCAAGTCAGCATCAGATGTAGGAGTATGTAATGGTGAAAAGGAAATGTCTGAACTAAACCAAACAGCTATTACATGAAAATTACTTCTGATCACCATCAAATTAACAATTTGTCAGTGATCYATGGATGCAAATCTTCATATAATATTACCACTTCCCAGACCTCACAATTCCTTATATTGTATAGAGRCCTCCTTCTCTACTGGCAGAAAATGTTTGCAGTCAAATGTTAACTCTGTTTAGCTTTGTATCTGTTTATTCATATGAATATAATAAAGGAAGTTCTCTAAGATTATTCAACTTAG